ATTTTATTTTATTGTAGTATAAGTATTTTTAGTTTTATAATTAATAATATTGAATTTGTGATTTTTAATTACTATATAAAATGTTGACATAAATAAAAATAAAAAATAAAATTTTTCATAAAATTAATTTAAGCAATTGGATTATAATTTGAAATTAATTTAAATTTAAAGTCAAAATATTTTTTTTCCAAAAAATTCAAAGAAAAAAAATCAATTTCAATGTCTTATATGTTATTTAAAAATAATTATAAGGACATAAATTTAAATTTAATACAAAAAAAAAAGATGTAACATTAAATTATTTTAATTACCAAATAAAAAGTTTACACAAATAAAATATAACAAATAAAAATTTTAATACAAAAATAAATTTAAATTAAATGGGTTGGATCTTACAATTCATCCCAATAAAATAATAAAACTTTATCAACTCTATTTTTATAAAGCCCATATAAAATATTAAAAAATTGGGCCAAAGCCCACATTAAATTAGGGCTTTCTTCCCGGCAGCTTTGCATCGTCTTCTCTGCATCAACTCCTCTGTGTTTCTTTCTTTCTCCGCTCCGCAAGTCCTCATCTTCTCCCTTTTGCTGCCGTGTCCAAGTGCAAAGCCAAGGATCCGATCCATATCCCGTGTCGATATCCGTGTCGTGTCAACATGGATACTTCTCCATTTTTGGAGAGTCCGAGCGACATAGGTTTCTGGGATGGCAACTATGAAATTTGATATTTCGCTTTTGGATCGCAACGATAGATTTTCTTTGTCGCGGATCAAGATGCGAGCGGTTCTTGCTCAATTGAATCTTGATGATGCTTTGTTGGGGATATATAGAATACTCGCAATAATGACTGTGGAGGAGAAGCAACAGAAGGATCGAATAGCCCTATCACAAATACATGTTCATATTTTCAATCAAATTATTCGGGACATGATAAAGGAGAAAAGTGTCACTAGGTTGTGGTTAAAATTGGAATAGTTTTATATAACAAAGAGTTTTGACAAGTTAGTTACACTTGAAACAACGCTTGTATTCTCATCGTTTGACGGAAGGTAGATCTTTGAAATATCATCATTGGTGTTCAAGAAAATCGTCACTGATTTGGAGACCATGGACGTCAAATATGATGAAGAGAATTTAGGGTTTATAATGTTATGTTCGTTATCGCCTTTATATGTGACTTTTAGAGATACCATTCTCTGTAGTCGGGATACTCTTACTATTATGAGATATATGATGCGCTTTATTCTAAGGAGAAGATGAAGCATCTGGTCGTCGGTTCTGAGGCCCAAGTTGAGGGTTTTGTTGTTCGTGAGATGAAGACAGGTAGTCATAGAAAGAGCAAAGTCAAGAATAATAATAATGATAAAGTCTGTTGGTATTACAACTATAAGTGGCATATGAAGAGGAATTGCTATGAGTGATAGAACAGGTTTGCTACTACAGATCAGAAAGAACAACCAGAAAATTCTGGTAATGTCAATCTTGCAGAAGAAGACAGTGATGATCTTTTGGCGATTACTGAAGGTGACTCCAAACCGACGAGGATTGGATTATTGATTTGACTTGCACTTTTCATATGTGTTCAAATCGGGATTGATTTTCTTCACATGAAACAGGTATAAGGGGTTCTGGATTATGGAAAATAATAAGCTTTGTAAAATAGTTGGGATTGGTAATGTCAAAATCAAGATATTTGATGGGACGGTTAGAACACTTGGCCAGGTTTGACATGTTCTTGGTATAAACACTAATTTAATCTCTTTGAGTACTCTCGATTCAAAAGGGTAGAGGTATACCGGTGGAGGTGGATTTCTGAAAGTTAGCAAAGGTGCCCGAGTTGTGTTAAGGGGACGGAGAAGGTCCCGATTATATGTGTTAGAAGGTTCGACTGCAGCTGCAGCTTATGGTTCAATAAACAATAACTCGGGTAGAGTTGGTTGTGATCGGGTTGTTCGTGGTGGTTCGAACAATAATACTTGGGAATCTTCTAGTATCTCAGGTGGAACTGGTTGTAATCTTGTTGATCATGTTTTTCATAGCGATTCGAGTAGGTTTGACAACTCAGGTGGAGTTGAAAGTGCTCATGGTGATTCGAGCAAGTTTGGTGACTCGATTGGAACTGGTAAAGAATGGGATGATTCAAACAGGTTTCGCACGCGAGGTAATTTTGCTAGTAAGCAGGACTTGAATTTAGTTCACAGATGCTGAGTATGCCCGGCAAGGACATGGGGTGTCCGGATGGGATATGGGAAAAGAGTTGGAGAATGACTTGAAGAGTGAAGACTTAATTCTTTGCTATGGAATTTGTGTCAAGGTGGAGTTTATTATGTTTTGTGTCTCAAATTCCATGTGAATTGGAAGTTTGATTATGGAGTAAGTCTAGATAATTTTAGTTTAGAAGCTGGTTTGATAAGTAATCAAATTTCATCATAAATTGAGAGTATGATTGGAAAAGGACTTTAAAATTGATAAGGACTCTACTTCATCCATAACTTCAAGACTTGACTCCTATAAATACTCCACAAAGTGTAGGCTCTTTAGAGACTCAACTTAACAATTAGATCATTATTGTATGTATTAGAAACTTGATAAAATTGTTTAAATTTAGATTGAAAGGATTAAATCTTGTAGAGACAATTTTAGTTTTTTAGTATAATAAATTCTCATTTTCTTACACAAAATCTTGGTTATTGTGTGATCCATTATTTTTCATATTGCTCATATTATTTTTGTCTTTAATTATTTGGTCGGATTCTCAAAAAAGTGGTATCAGAGCGATTATGGTATCTTGGTTGTTTTATAACAAGGAACTCATGAAGCTTTACTTCCTTTCATGCTTATCGTGTGGTTATCTCACTGTTAACCAATAACTGGGGACAATTATTGTGAACAGTTGAAATAACAGTAGCAGCCCACGACACAACTGGTGGCATGCTCACAAAGATATCGGAAGCTGCGATGATTGCCAAGCATGCAATTGATGTCTATATTGTTAAGGTAATAGACAACAACCTATCAGTTTGTTTCTCAAGGAAATATGTATCTTTAACATTCGGTGGATGCAGGCAGCTACGTATCACTCATTGAAGGCTCTACGAGGAGATTTGAAAGAGAACATACCTGACGACTGGCTTGGAACAGTTATCCGGCTTGTCAAGTAGAATCAACTGCTACTTTTTTGACGTAAATGAACAGAGATTTATTGTTTGCAAGTTTTTGTGCATTTGAATTCAAGCATTTACTCGAGTCAGGTGAATCCTGCTGTTGTATCCTACTAATTAGCAATTGTAGACAAACAGGTCAAATCTACAATTTCAGATAATGTGGCAGCAGTTCGAGCCATACTAAAGTTGAAGCGAAGAATCAAAACCACACTCCACCACTACTACCTGGAATCCATTTTCATTTGCCAATAAACCATCACGTAAAGTAGAAGCCTTAGCATCTTCTTACCATAGGACAACCCACTACCCGCTTTGATTGTACAGCTGAAACCATTCCCGAATGATCCCGAATTGCTGCACCAATTTCGAAGTTTATAGTTCCAGCCACCACTGCGGCATCAGTTCCTTTCGCCCCAGATAAACAAAAAAAAGAGTGTTTGTCTGAGAAAAAAAAAAGAACAAGGCTAATGCTTTGCACATAGAAGAAGAGTTTCAAGTTATTGCAAATTATGGCTATATGCACAGATTTCTTGCTCTTCAGATAAAACTGAAAGGTATGTTATATGTTGCAACATTGGTGAAAAAAAAAAGGAAAGATCTTCGATGAAAATGATTGATATTTCAGACTTGTATTATTTTCACTTCACTGATGACTCTTCCTTCTTCGGACATTTCTGGTGGGGTGGGGGTGATTTTTGTTTTTTAGTTTTGATTTTTAATTATTTATTTGAGATTTATTTATAATTTTTTGAAAATTTTGGAATTATGGATGCAATTAGTTCTTTATTTTTTATTTTATTTTATTTTATTTTATATAAATAGGAGAGTATATTTGTCATTTCACAGCTTTTTATTGAGAAAATAGATGAAAATGAAGATTTCCGCAATAAAAGGTGTAAATAGGAGTGAAAATGCAAAAAAAAAAAAAAAAGAAATGTGGGATTGTTTTGCACAATAAACTTCAAACGTAAGAACAGTTTGTGCTAATAATCCGGGTAATTATATCAACACCATAATTTTTATTTTTTATATCACATTTAGCGTGTGTTTGATTCTCATTTTTTCCTCATTATAATGAAAAATATGACAATTGACAGTCATATTTCTCATTATAATGAGGAAAAAAATTGGGATCAAACAGAGGCTTAAATTGCACTTAAATTCTCAATATTCATTCATTATAGCAATTATATCCTAATTTTCTTTCGTAGCATTCTTATTCTTAATATTTGAATAATGTTATCTATGGGCGTTAGAACACCAGTCTATGTGGCAGTAACACTATTCAACTTAATTTGTACTTTTTATGTAATTCATTTAATTGAACTTATAATTTAACACCATTAATGTTGTCATGTAGACTAGTATTAAACACCAGTGGTGCTAAATAGCATTACTTTTAATTTTTCATTAATTAACGTCATGTATTTGATAACAATTTCTATCCAAAAAATTCGTTGAAAGGCGTAAAACGATTTACTTTTCCGCGCATACACACACAAATATAAGTTAGATAAAAAAAAAATTCTCATTTCAAAGTTTGAAAACAAAATATTTTGACAGAAATCATCATAAACAACGAGAAGCACTAATTAATGAGAGGTTTAAGGTAATAATATGATACAAAAAGTTAGGGATATAAATGTTTTGACGAACAAAGATTGAAGAATACAAGTACAATAAAAATGAGGTGTGACAAATAAAAATTGTTATGCAAATATACTCACCCCTTCCTTTTTTTTAATTAATTTATGAGAAAATGAGGAAGCGACGTTTTTATCCTTCTTTTAATTGGTCAAAATAAGATAGTTTAAATTTTGTCAACTACAATGAACATATTATGTCTATTATCTTCCAGTTGCAATCGAAATGAAAGGTTTGGAGCTGTGAGTGCAAAAATAAAAGGTTTAGGTATACTCCGCAACAAATTGAAAGATTGGTACTCTAGCTGCAATTTTTCCAAAAAAACATACGACAAGATTAGTAGCCAAAGGGCTTATGCAGAGTCGAGAATAGATTGTAGTCAAACATTCTCACATGTAGCAAAATATAATTTCTTGAATTGTGATCTAGATGAGATCATTTATACAAGTCAACATAAAGGTTTTGAATTGAAATCTAAATCTAAAATTGAAAAAGTTAGTTTGATAAGAAATCTCTTTAGAGATTAAAACAAGCACCAAGATAATGATATAAGAATTTTAATTCTTATATTCAAAACTTCGGATTTAGAGAAGGGGATAATACATATATCAAGCCATAACTATACGCAATTTCAATTTTAAGAAAAAATGTTTAATATTTCTAAAGTCGGGTAATATTTATTAAATATATAAAAATTATATTCTATAAAATTAGATTCTTAAAATCAAGCATTTAATTACCATCTCAAATTGAACTTTCCAAAATACAAATTCCTCATCAAATAGAAGAGAAAACTAGAGAGATCTATCATATTCTCGATTACCACTATCGGAATCTAACTTATTGAAAATAATCGGACAATTGAGATCACAAATGGAAAGCTATCGTCGCAGTATATCAAAATTTTGAAGGTGGTTACTAAAGTTGCAGAGTTGCTATATTGTATTGTTGGCGAAGGGTTTCACAATTGGTGGTGACTAAAATTGTATTGTTGCTGTATTGTCCTACTTTTGAATTTATGAAACAGTGTAAGAGCTTTAATTGTGACTTGTTGTGACTAAAATTGATGAGTTTTGTAGACTGTGATATTGAAAAGATTCGTTAACCTGTACACTATGAGTTGTTGTGACAAAAATTGAAAATAAACATTGTTACTTTGTGACATTAATCCAATGGCATGTGATCATTGAACTGTTACATGTGACGTAACCTACAAACTGTGACTTGTAATATTGATCTAATTACTTGAAATCAATTCTCTTGAATTTGTGACATGTGGACATTGATCTATTACCTATGCAATATAACATATGAGCCATGAATTGTTACTTGTGACCTATAACATATGAATTGCGACCTGTAAACTTGAATCTGTGACATGTTATCAGTGTACAAAGACTGTGACCTGTTGACATTAATATGTGACCTATATAATATGATCTATGAATATAAATTAGTGATTTGTACCCAATTTTATTTGATCTGTGACCTATAGAAATTATTTTGTGACCTATGCATAACGACGTGTGACATGTAATACGTGCACATTGAACCTTGACAACTGAATTATGACTTGTAACAAGGGACCGTGACCAGTAGTATTTAACAAATGGAACAACTTACATATACCAATGACAACCAATAAAAATCATCACAACCCCATAACCACCACCACCACCGCACCACCCAACCAACTATTAAAACCTCATGTTTAATTAATTAATTATACATCAAATTAATTTTGCAGGGCTGTTTTGTGCTATAGAATCCACCACCAACAATCAAAACAATCACCACCACTCCATCACCAACACCACCACTACTCCATCACGATATGAAATAATTATATAGATGGGATGGCATAAAGTAACAGAATTGGTCATTTCCAAGTTTTTCTGTTCGAGCCACATTAAAATTTTCATTCTCATTTTTCTACTCATTTTCAACTACACATTTTTCAATAAAATAATAATTTACATCGTATCAATAACTTTTCCTTCTTTTTCAACCACACATTTTTCATTAATCTACTATTCCAAAATATATTCTTCTAGAATAATGTGGCTCAAACACACCCTATGGGCGTGTTCAGTAGAGATTAAAATTGAATTAAAATTGAAAAATTAGTCGTTATTGTTGACTTTTATAATTTTATTAGACGGGTGGAACCCAATAACGACCATATTTTCAATTAAAATTAGATTTTAATCCTGAGCAAACATGCTCTATATTTTTTGATATAAAAGTGAATGTATAGAGAGCCTTCTAGCTTACATTTTTGGTTCTAAATTCCATATGAATGTATAGAGAGTCCTATGGCTGCACTAACACCACTCTCCATCACTCATTTTTTGTTCTAAAACTTAACTTGGAAACAACCAAAACAAACAATAAAAAATTGATGTATAGAGACACCACCACCACTCCATAAAATTAATTATACATATCACCACCAACAACCACCACCGTCATTCCATCACCACCACCGCGTGCGGTGTCTCTATTTCATCATCGAAATTAGAGTTCTTTATCGCGTGGAGAATTAGGGCGCAATCATCGCCATCGCTGCTGCTTCGCGCCATCATCGGTGACTATGGTGTTACCTTTTGATTAAGGCTTATGAGATAGAGAGTGGACATAGATGAGAGAGTAGAAGGAGAAAGTGTATGTATAACTAATTTTTGATTGATTATTAATAATATATTTATTTAATAAATATTATATAATTAATTATAACTTGAATTATGAAGGATGAAACGTAAAATCTTATTTATGAAGTTGGATCTTAAAAAACCTACCTCCACGTAATTTTCGCTTTAGAAAAAGCAATTTTGATTCATGTCTTTTCTACAAATGTACGTGTAAATAAATCTGTATAGTTGGGGTTCAATTGATTTTGATTTAAAGTTTAAAATGTGTTTTTTTGAAAGGCTACAGTAACTCTCATTTTGCAAGTGACATTGATAAAATAATGTTTACTTTCTCAACTTTAGCCTTATCTTCTGCAAAGGCAAAATATATAGCAGCCTATGATGCTGTAAAGAGGGATTTTGGTTAAGGAGATTGTTGGGAAATTGGTTTTGTTGATGAAATTGTGAGGTTATATATTGAGAACTAAAGTGCAATTCATTCGAGGAAGAATCCAGTTTATCATGACACGACTAAACATGTTGACATAAAAAATTTCATTTTGTTAGAATAGTCGAGAAATGTATGATGACATCTTGTTAGACGAATGCCGCGTCGATTCCATTTCCTGGTAATAGCATTAACACGGGAAGTAGATATGCGTCAACTCCGATAGCGGTAAGTCCAAAAGGAACTAGTTAATTTTAAGACCCATCTTTGTGAAGGCTAAAATGCCTAACCTTCTCGAATAAGTGATGACACTGGCAAATCTCCAAGTACCAGTACTAGAGAAAAATTGTGAAATGATTATCAGCAAATTATTTCTGCAACTCTCTCAAATTAAAACTCCACAATGTGATTAAATCTGCACAAACTGAGTATTTCAAATTATGCAACAATTTTATACATTTGCTAGCAATTTCAAACTTAACCACACCACAATAAACAAAACAAGATTCAAACCTGTTTTTCAAATATAATAAAAAGATAACACGACATTATTCTAACTCAAATGACCCTGACAACGAGAAAATATTATCTCAATATAGTCAAGAACATGGGCGATCCTGAATAAGATGGCCCCGTAGTATTCCCACCCTTTACTAATCTAATAATTTGAAGTTTATCGCGTTTGGAATTTCAAACCGCTGGGCAATTTATGTGATATAAAGTTATTTGGGACCAATGTCCTTGAGACCACAAATCTGCTCCTCCCCCATAGCAGACATAACACTCACAACAAGGTCCTTCCCCTCTTCAAATCCAGCCTTGATCTGCACATTTTATCGAAAATCAGGAATTTATAGAATGTGCAATAACAAATAACAATTTAAGTAAGATTCCTCGAGAGTCGATGAAAACAGTGAAATCTCACTATAACCATAACCTGGGAAAGAAGACTTTCATCAGTTGGGAGCTTCAAGTCATCCTTGGTGTTGCCATTCTCAGTCAACAAGCTCACCTACACCATATTTTGCAAGCGGTGTATAAGACAGTGTAAACCATATCGATAAAACAATCCAGTAACTTACAAATCCATCCTCAGAGATGTCGATAAGCTGGTAGTCAGTGCGATTAACATGAGGAACCTGTAATTCAACGATATCCTTTAAAGACTCGTAACAGCAAATGCACGATAAAAATATACTTAAATGAATAACAAAAAAAGAACATGCATACGTCACAGTTGTGGGAAGATGGGACAATATCTTCGAGCTTCTTTGCAGTGAAGATGTCGATTGCAACAAAGTGACATTTAGCATGACCGTGCTTTCCGGTCTTGGAAGTTGAAACTTCCACAACCTGTAACAATCATACAAAATCTTAGATGTCATGTGAATGATATCGAGTTATCAGCCATAACAGTTTCTCAATCAACATCGGCATCCTATGAGAAAAGCTATTCTAGAATCTACGGGTACCTCGAAAAAAGGGCAACAAATATATCATATAGACCATGTTTGGTCCCTGCTTCTTAAAACTCACTTTTCCCAAATCATTTTCAACCACACATTTCATAGGACACACAACTTTTATCAACTTTTCAACCACGCGTTTAATAAACTTTTATTTCTACTAAAGATCTCATTTTATTAAAACTATCATATTAATTTTCCACAACTACACAATATAAACTGAATAGACTCCTCTCCACATAAATATTTCAGATCAAATGTTACAAACAAAGCTAGTCGCTTGGATGACTAATGATCACCAAAACAAATTACAATTATATATCGGCTAAAGGTAATGGGAACTCGTTATGCAGCAGTTAAGAAAATGTTTCGACTATACGAAGGTAAACTTTCGTGCTTTATTCATATCCACTCCAGATCAAAGAAGACTACAATAAATCACTAGATGAATTCAATTTTTCTTTAAAGAAGCTAAATAGGTGGCACATACAAATTCCGAAATAAATTTAGGTCGAGAACTCCAAAACAAATTCAACGCCAAATAATTATCAACACAATCTTAATTGACAATCTCAATACAAACCAATAATCAGATACAGATACTTGAATACGTAAATTTAACATAGATGAAAAAGGCAAACCTTGCAAGGACGGCCTTTGATAACAATGTAACCATTCTTACGGATGGTACCGGCCTGCTGCGGGTAAGTTTTGGAGGCGCCGGCATCTGCCTTCGATTCGAAGTGATGCTCCTCGTCCGACATGGTGAGAAAAATCTATATACACAGAAAAAGTGGCGACGTTCGGAGGAAGAGGAGGAGGAGCAGGGACTGAGGAGTAGGAATTGGGTGGTTATAGATATATAGGGCCGTGTATGTATAGGAGGGAGATTTTAGGGCTTTCGTTACTGGGCCCAACTGCAGTGATTGGGCTCGAGATCAACGGATGAGATTAATTTTTTTGTGTTTGAGGGAGAATTCTGTTTACCCACTAAGCCGCCTAATGCGACTTTGGTTATTGAGTGGACCAGCTTGTCCGGAATTGGATTAAAAAGCTAATAATTGATAAATTACAAGACAACATGTTTTAATCAATATGCTTGTGATAATTATATCAAAATATAAATATTACTTTCGAAAGACAATCCGAAATAAATTATTTTTAGTAGAAAATTGATTCTATAAATGACGTGTATGTCAATCTTGAAAAGAACGAATCATAACGACTACACATGAATTCCACGTCGTTTAAAAGCATTTGAAAATTAGCGTCCTCCGAGAAATACATTCCCTTCATTGCCCAAAAAGAAACATGACCCAAGCAATCATGCTATAAGTACAGAAAATTCTGATGAACAACACAAGACTTGAAATTATTGGAAGATGAAAAAAAAAGCATACGAATTAAATTTCATCACATCAGCAACTGTACGAATTTAATAAGTAATTCCCTGCACTTGAGGCTTTTTCCTAACCCAAGTGGCTCTCGAAGTGTGTATAGAACTATATACTTCATTTAATCTAATAACGCTTGATTGATATAATTTTTTTAGAATAAATTATGTGAAAAAGTATCTTTGGAGAATGTTGTTTAAAAAGTTATGAGCTTGTGACGTAGCGGAAGCTTATAAAAAATATGGAAAATCTCACAAATAATTTCAATGAATAGAAACTTCAAAAAATTTTATTTCATTCAACAAATGCAGCCTCGAAGGGCTTGCAATATTTTTAGTTCATTGGCCCGTTTATATTCAGATTTGACTAAAATCTCGTAAAAAACGAACAATCCCAAAATTTCTCCAAAAATCGGGAAGTCGCCTATTTCTATTTGCGTCGATCCCACTTTGTCATAAAGTCTAATTCCTTCTGCACCACATCAGTTTGAGCGCAAAATTATTTTGTTTAGAAAATGTAATATTAAAAAATGAGTTGAGGCTTAGAAGGTTATTGCCTTTTTATTACCTTTCTAAATTTGACTTTAGTATAAAATTGCAAGCAATTACACTATATGGAAGATAAAAACTATAATAAAAAAGTGCTATCATCTAAAAATAGTTTGTGTCTAAATTACTTGAGACATAACTGCTTTATTATTATTATTATTATTATTATTATGTTATAGCTACAATAATCTTTATATTATAATAATATTGGGATCGAGAAAATTTATTACTTTAAAGAGTTAACTAATTCACAAATAAATATTTTATTGACCGATTATATAGTAACACTAAAAATTGTGATGAGATCAAACATTTCTTGAATTATCCCAGTGAAAATAATACAATGATAGGATAGCCTACTATCAAATAAATTATTTAAGGAGTATTGAATAGAACTATTGAAAATGAT